TGAAAATTAAACTAAATCAATTGTGATTAAATTAATATTAATAAAATAATAATAATAATAATTAATATTATTATTATTATTATAAAATATTATTAAATATATAATCATAATTTTACAATACTAAAAATTAGAATAAAATTATTTATAAATTCTTAGTATATTTAACATTCAGTAGTATTGAACTTATTTTAATTTATACCATTCACAAACAAAAATATATTAATATATACATAAAAGTCTAACCTAAATATATTATAATATTTAAATTTTAATTTTAATAAAATATAACAATGACTATTGCTAATAACAAAATTATATTTTAAAGTTAAAAGTGTTAAATTAATATATTTAAAATTATAAAAATTTAATATATAAAAAATTTAAATTACATAAATGATTTATTCCTATTTATAATTTTTATTAAATACTTATTTTTATTTTTATTAAAATCTGAATTTTAAAAAAAATGTAGCAGTTAAAACTTGATTTGTTACATCATTCTGACAAGTTTTAACCGATTTTGACCTTGTTGCAGTAGTTCCTTCACGTTCTAAGATGCTCCCTGCATAATTTACTCTCTCATGCCTTCCCACTCATCAAAAAGCTTTTAAAAAATTGTAAATGTTGAGTTTTTTTTTTAAAACGATTTTGTACTGCATCTCTTAGAATCATTGACCGGCTGTAAAATTTTACAACTTACAAATATACGGGATGATATTACAACGCTGTCGCAGTCGCACCATCTTTATTTCTTCATGAATAGTATTAGAAAAAGTACCTCCATCTGAGAAAGCTGAATAAACACAGCAAACCGGACTAACAGGTCCATAACGTAACACATAACCATTCACTTTATAAGACATATTTCAATGAAAGCAACTTAATTAAGCATGGACATGGGCAAGACCATGCCGTGTGGTACTCGAGTTTTCAGTTATCCATGCTCCAGACATCTTTTCCAACACTAACAGAAGCCAATACATATACTATGTCATGTGCTGTTTCAACTTGTCTTATTACAATCCTACGGATTCTACCTATGTTAATTAAACAGGGTTATTACTAAAAGCCAGTTATTTTTGTCAACAAGTGATTTTGAAGATACAGAAGTATCTCTTCGGTGGAGAGAGACAGACATTACTCGAGAAGAACAAACACTCAAAAGAAAAAACAAGGTTTTATTTCAATTTTGGTTGTTATTAATTTAATATTTTAATTCTTTATATTTATTTCTTTTAATACATTATGCATTTATTATACTAATAATTTAGTCCGTATACACAGACAATTTTTATTATATATAACTAAATTTTATAATAAATTATATATACATATAAATATTATATTTAAA